TGTCTCCCTCAACCCTACCACCTCTAAACTCAGTCAGCCGATAGCAAAAAGCCATGGAGTTGCTGATCAAGTTACTTTCTTGAAATATCTTCTCAGATGTTCCCTAAGTACCTCAAGCTGCAGTTAATTTTTCCCACCCTTCCCCAGTCCTCCTCTGCATTGCTTATCAACCCAAAATTCTGCGAGTCATTCTTGACTTCTCTCTCTTTTACATCAAGTTCTGCCCTCTTTACATCCTAAATATTTCTTAAACTATGTCTTTCCATTCCTACTACTGCTTCTCTATTGCAAACCTTTGTCTCTCACCAGAGCTGTTTCAGCAGGCTTCCAACTCATCCAGTTTCCTGCAGCACATTCTCTAAATGGTGCCAGAATCGTTTTTCATAAATTCAAGTTGGATCATGTCATTTTTCTCCTGAAAGCTTTTCAGTGACTCCACCGTGGCCACAAGATAGTGTTCAAGCCCCTCAGTATGGAAAATGTAACCTTTCATGATCTGACCAGCCCTATCTCACCTGCTTCATCTCCATTCCTCCCTACCCCACACCCAAAATTTGATGCTGTAATAATACCTATCTAACTTGCTCAAAATATGAGGTGAAGTTTTATTTGTTGGTACATTTGCTCATACTGTTTTCTTTTACCTAGACCATTCTTACATTTTTTTTTCTTATCTCCCAAGGTTAAGTTTGAATACTTAAGGAATCACCCTTCCCTTAAGTAGATAAAGTTAGGTGCCTTGCCCTTGCACTCATAACATCCAGTATATTCCTGAATTACTGCATTTAGCATACGGCATTAAAAATTCTGTTTCCACATCTGTCTCCACCAGTAAAATCTCTTTCAGAACAGGAACGAGGGCTTTCTCCTGTTTGTATACCCAACACCTAGCATACAATAAATACTCTGTAAATGTTTATTTTCCATTTTGCCCAGTGTAGTCCCACAGTACATATCAGGCCCATAAACTGTGTTCTTCAGTAAACATCTGATGAATATATAAATGATTGATTCATTTGGAAATTTATTAAAAAGGAATAAGGAAAGCAGAAGTTGAGATAACAGAGGTTTTCTTATGAGTGACTGGGAGGATGGTGATATCATTAAGTGAAAATGGAAACAGATGGAGGAAGTAGTTTCAAGATAAAGATATTGCATTGCTTTAGCAAGAGTTGGTTTGGGAGGCAGGAATAGACATCCCTTTACAGCTTTTCATCAGATACTTGATCAGGTCAGCAGTTTTGGCAAGCACTGTGAACTAGAAGAATCTATTTAGAAATCATACTTGAAGATATAGAGGTGTGGCAAGGATCACCAAGAAAGTACTAAGAGGGAAGAGGACAGGGATAGACTTTTGGAATGTCTACATCTAAGGGGAAAGAAGAAGTCTCCTAAAACCAGAAAACCAGTCAATGTAATATTATAAAGACCAAAGGAGAAAACATTTCAAGAAAAAATGTTTTCTTGAATTTCTTGAATTTTTATAGGGTGATCTAGTAACAACCAAGACTGTTCAAAGAAGAAAGGCATTTTGATTTGTTCTTTAAAAACTAGTTCTAGTCGGTATGTCTGTTAGAATAAATTATTGTTTTCTAGACATTCAGCAGAGAAGCAAGGAGACAGAAGATAGTTACGGAAGGGACATGATGAGAGTTTTTTGTTTGTTTTTAAATTATGAAATGCATGCCTTTTGGAAGAAATTAAAACATTCAGAGGTATATAAATTAAAGTATAAAAGTCTTTCCTGTATTTCTTCTGGTCTCTTTTAGTTTGACATTTATCCATCCAGAACTTTAAAAATATTTTTCTATATTTTTGTTTCTATAAAAATGAGATCACATTATATATTCTATTATTGCAAATTGCTTTTATTTTATTTTAATAGCATGTCATGAAGTTTCTCCACATCAGTATGAATAATTACCTCATTTTTAGTGGCTGAATAGTGTTCTTTATGAGTACGTACCATTATTTATTTATTCATTCTCTTACTGAATGATATTTGCCTTCAGTTTTTCACTATTACAAATAATTCTCCAGTGATTATCTTTGAACAAATATTCTCATGCTGTTGTTCATGTAATTCTGTGGGAGAAATTCTTTTTTTTTTTTTTGAAGACAGAGTCTCACTCTGTCTCCCAGGCTGGAGTGCAGTGGCATGATCATAGCTCACTGTAAACTCAAACTCCTGGGTTCAAGCTATCCTGCTGCCTCAGCTTCCAAGTAGCTGGAACTATGGGCACATGCCACCATGTCTAGCTAGTTTAAAAAAAATTCTTTAGAGATGGGGTCTTGCTGTGTTGCCCAGTCTGATCTCAAATTCCTGGCCTCAAGTGTGGGATAAAAGTAGAACTGTTGGAAGAGGGATGCATTTTCATTTTGTGTTGACAAGTCACCCACAAAAAGGTGATACCCATTTGCGGTTCCTGTAGTAGCTATTAAACTGCTCTTGTCACCATACCCTCACTGACACTGGGTATTAATGGAGGATCTGCTCTTGTTTGTAGCCCTAGGAAACAATCCCGTTTAGAGGAGGAGTTTGTAAGTTATAAGAAAAAGAGATGATTGACAGGCCATAGTCACAGAGGGGATGGGTCAAGATGGTATCAAGAGTGCATATAAAAGGTAAAAAAAATTTTTTTGAGACATTAAGAGAGGAATAGTAGATGAGTGAATATGGAAATAAATACAAATGAAGGAAGAAATTTTTCATATAGTCATCTTTATTTTAGGGAAATTACAAGCCAAGTTCCCAGTTGAGATGGAGGATTACCAAGACAGAATTTTGAATAAAGGTACAGAAAAGCCTCTGTGAAAATGCTGTAAAGAAGCAGAAGGCAGTCAGTATTGGGAGTTCATCTGAGCTGAGAATGAATCAATTTGGGGGAAGCCACTAGTTGGGGTCACATTAATTTCTCTGCAAGAACAACCAGAGACGTAGTCATTGGATTTGCCTGGGTTTGGGGCTTCTGGGTCGATGTAAATTTAAATAACATTCATAATAAGGTACTTTTATTTTCCGTATTTTCCTGTTCCCTGAGTGCAATTTGTATAACCTAAGGTACACATCTTCTGGTCGGTCTGCACAGGAAAATGGTCCATGTTCTGGTTTAAAAAAAAAAAAAGGAGAGAGTATCACTTTTATACATTTTCTTGTGCCCACCATATAAAGCCGTGTAACTAATAATTTTATTTTCTTTATATAATTCTGAACGTAAAGCCATTTACTTTCTTGGTTTTTATTAATAAATTATGATAGGAGCAAACACTGCTAAAAATTCTGATTGATATAAACCAGAGACATTTATATAAGAATATGTGATTTAGAGCAAAGCAGCTGGCGGAGCAGAATAGATCTTGAGGTCAGCCACGTCATCTGAGCCTCCCCCACCACCACAGCCCCCCACCTATCACGCTTCAGTCGTGCTCCTGGACACCCCTCGGACCCGTGAGTGCTCACCATACCCTCTGCGGGGCAGTGTGGTCCCGAGCCTACTGCCCACTCGCTGGAGGACAGCCTTCTCAGCAACAGTGTGGGCTTCACAGGGCCCCATCTACAAAGGAGTCTGCAAATGTTTCTGGTGATCCCAAGGCCCTGGCTTCATTACCCCCGCCGATCTTCCTGCAGGTCTCTGACGTGGAAGGGGAATATGTCTCAGGTGAAGGCGATGAGATCACCTATAAGATGTACTCCATCCCACCCAAGAATGAGAAGGTGCAGGCCGTGGAGGTTGTCATTACCCACCTGGCACCAGGCAGCAAGCATGAGACCTGGTCCGGGCGTGTCATCAGCTCCTAGAAGACGCTGGAAGCACCCCTTCTCCTGTGCCTTTGAGAGACTTTGCAGGGAGTAGGTGGCAGACACTGGAGACGACATTCTTCCATAGGAGAAGGGGCTTTGCCGGGGCATGGCCCCTTTCAAGTATCTCCTGGAGGAAGGGGTGTGGGGGGCAGGCATGGGGTGCCCCTGGCCACCAGCACAGCCTCTGACCATGGCAACAATGTCTCACCATCTGAAGAGCATTAAAAGCATTTAAAAAGGAAAAAAAAAAAAGAATATGAGATTTGAATCCTGGTCAAAGGCCACCTGGAATAAGTGATAGACCTAGCAACACTCCATTCAGCTTATTCTTGTCTAGAGATTCCCTCTGCTTCTGGGGAGTTTAAACATTTTAATTTTAGAATCTTGTTTTTTGAGTAGCTGCCTCTGTGTATTTCCAAGTCTTTTTCTTTAATTTTCACATTGTTTATGGGCATGGGGAAGACAAAAGCCAAGTGTCATGAGTTTGTTGTGATCTTAAATTAGAGGAAACAGTGGAATAGCGAGAGATAACACATCTTTAGAACATTTCTGCCTAAAATAAGAAAATGTTATAAGAAGAAATGTGCTAATGGTGGGAACACAGTTTATTAAAGAAGAAAATACATACATGTGTTCATTTTCATTAAAATGCCTTTTATTCTGCATTTGTCTTGTTGACCTTTTAATGAACTTATGTAAGTATGGAGTCTAGTTCTTCCACATGCACTATTACACTACTCCTTACGTGCTCTGGGTACATAATAAATACCAATAACAATTGAAAATTAGAAGTACAAATGCATTTCGAGGCACGTTGGTGATATTTTAATCCCTAGTGTTCATTTTTAGTACTTGGAAAACATCTTAGATATGCAAGTCTTGTTTTAGCATACTTTTTATTTCTATAGATAGTCTGGTTCTTAGTCATACTCTGTGGCTTTATCAGCTGTTTCATCAGTTTGAGTCTCATTTCCCCAACTCCCAGGATAAGCTTTTGAGACTAAAGACCATTTCTTTTCCAAAATTTTTGTGACAGCACACAAAATAGAGGTTGAGTAAATTATTTAAATTATACCTCAGTAAAAAGTAAGATAAAGTTCTTAATGAATTGCATTTCAGCCCATGCTGAATTTAAATATCTCTATGATCTGTATCCCCTTCTATGCCTTCAACAGTTCATTCATCATTGTTCTTTCAGTTCATTAAAGTCAAACTGTAATGGCTCGCTGCTTGGAACGTCATCATCCATTAAAAAGTACCAAGACTCCCCAAACAGTGGAGAGAATAGGAAGGAGAAGAAGACAGTTGGGTTTCATTCGCATATGAAAGATGATGCCCAGTGGTCATGTCAAAAGAAAGATACACGTAGACCCCAAAGAGGTAAGTTTAACAACTGTAGTAGCAAATGAGAAACTGGCAGGGGAAGGTAGTTGCTAGCCAATGAATTTCAGATGATTTCCTACAATGTTGAGCAAAAGTTAAATGTTATACACTGAAGTGTGCCTGCACGGCCACAGGTAACACATCTATGGGATTAGTGAATTGTGTCTGCATTTTTCTTAGAATACTGGTATGAAAAACTGTATCTAAATTGTCCCTCTTTTTGCAAGCAACAAGTGTTAAGAATTAGTCAGCAGTAAGTATGTTCATATTCTAAACTAATGTTCCAAGTGAGTAAAGAGGGCAAGATATTGAACATAAATCTCTCCTGGAAAAATAAACTCTAACAACTACAGTTAATCCTCAATTGACTGGAAACATGGGAAGGGTGGAGGGGAGATCATGGACAACTCCCCATATTCTGACTGAAACAAACTTCACAAGTGTAAAGCATATATTGCCTAGCAATCTTTTAAATGTCAATAATATTTCCTATTATGTGGTAGATTCTTTTTTTTTTTTTTTTTTTTTCAGACAGCCTCACACTGTCACCAGGCACCAGGCTGGAGTGCAGTGGTGTGATCTCGGCTCACTGCAACCTCTGCCCCCCAGGTTCAAAGGTTTAAGCAATTCTCCTGCCCCTGCCTCCCAAGTAGCTGGGACTACAGGCACATACCACCACACCCAGCTAATTTTTGTATTTTTTAGTAGAGACGGGGTTTCACCATGTTGGTCAGGATGGTCCCAATCTCTTGACCTTGTGATCTGCCCATCTCAGCCTCCCAAAGTGCTGGGATTACAGGCGTGAGCCACCATGCCTGGCCTGGTAAATTCTTTTTAAAAATCAGTTATAACTATATTAAATGTTGGGTGAAGCAAATTTGTTTCCCAGTTGTTCCTGGAGAGGCTTTTGGCTTAATCTATCCTGGCATCCTTAAAGGAATGACTTTGGAAAAGAACGGAGCAAGTCTGCGCTTCATTATACGGAAAAGATGTACAGGAAACAAAAGGCCAAAAAGACCTCTGAGCCCTGTCCTGCCCACACCTCTTTCCCAGGTGTCTTTTTTCCCTTCCCACGACCATTAACCCTGATTTCCTTCTTACTTACCTCTTTTTCTACTGGGGCCACACCTTTCTACCACTGGTGTCATACAACCTACTTTTCATAATCTCTATAGCCACTCTCACATTTATTTATTTGAAAATTGGGCAGTTCTTTGTGAGATCTTGCAGGTGTACATCTCCCTGCGTTTCTTCATTTGCTACTAGCTCTGCCATGCTTTTTGGTTTAGATTATGATTAATCTAGAAATTGTTTAATCCTCTACCAGGTAATTGAGAGATGATAATCAGTTCAAATTTTGGGGGGAGGACTATCCACAATTTGAAAAAAAGCAAAAGTATGTTTTGTTTGACATAAGACAAAGAAAGGTTTTGTAGACTTCCATTGCTTTAGAACAACTTAGAAGCTGCTTTCTGGACATTGCTTCCCAAACTAAAAATTAAATTGAAGAAATTTTATGAGATAGAATCTTTACTTTCTCTGTTAGCAGTCCTTCAGAAATGGAAAACTCTTACCTCAGCTTCCTCTGTTCGTAGTCATTGCACTTTGGAGAGTGAAGAATTAGCCACAATTGGTGTGGTAGTTACACTGCAAGGTTTAACATAGTCTTCAGTTAACTTGTCTACAAAGTTGTGTTGTGTGGCAGCACTAAGATAAAATGGCAAGATGAGAAAAATATAGTGTAATAGCAAAAGAACGAATAACTTGTGTTATTGGTTAATACCACAGCCACAGTAGAAAGCAGCAATTGAAAAGGCACTTTGAGAAAGATATCATCAGGCCAGCCCTTGCTGTGGTGAAGGTTAATCTCTCCTGGGCCTAGCTACAGAAGTCAGAAGCCTGAAAAGGGCTTGTGTCCAAAAAAAATCAATTTCTAATTTGAAACAAAATCATTTTTGACTAACCGGGGTTCAGAACCCATTACTTTTTGCTGTATAGTCTGCTGACATTTCAGCACTTTCTGTTGTGCACAATGAATCCTAATAGTCATTTTATAATGTTGCTATACCAATCAATTTAACCAAGAGAAAGCTGTTACAATTCTGCAAAGTTTTCAGGAACAGTTTTCACTCGTGGTTTTATTTTCTTTCCATTAGGTTTTTCCCCCCCTTTTTTTGTGGGGTTGGGGAAAGGCTGTAGTGTTGCTCTAAAAAAAAAAGAATAGAAACTTTTTCATCTTTTTAAGAGTTTTTATTTTAAAGCATTCACGGGAACTACTGACTTTCTGTTCTGCTCTCTTTTATCCTAATATGGAGCTGTTAGCAAAATTATGGTCTACATGACCATTGAATTGGCAGAAGTTGCCCGTTTGAGCCGTTCTGCCCATCACACAGCTAGAGTATGCAGATTACAGTACAGGGCAGAGTGATTGCATTGGCATTTGCTGTGGCCCACAACCACGTGGGAGATAGAAACTTTCCGTGGATGTTGTGGTAGACTTGGAAACTCTGTTTATCATAAGGCGAATGACCTGGCACAAATGACCTAAGTTACACTGCTTGGTTTAGCACCTTCTTAATTGCTTTTCCCTCTTTAGTGTGTCTGAATTTTTTAATACACTTTTCTTCTGACTTATATCTTTTGTTTCTTTTGTTGTTATCCTTTACTCATTAAGTACTACATAGGACATTTACTATAGGACCATTAATCTTTATTACCAGTCTCTTACTCCCTTACCTCTCCTATCCTCCTCACCGTTCTGCCAGCTTTATTGATGCTAAACATGTAAAAAAATAAATAAATAAAAAGAAGAAGACCAAACTGTTGTCTCAAGAAACAACCTTACCAACAGCAAAAATATGTATTGTCAAAATTACGCTTAAGATATATAAACTTGTTCATGCATCAGTTTTAGTTGCAGTTGCTTTTATTGAGCTATGTGGAACGGGGAGATAATACTTGGGAAAATCTAAACTTGAGTAAAGAACTTTTAAAAGGCATAAATCTGGAAACACCCAATCTTTATTTTTCTTTTTTCATCCTTTGCAGCCTCAAAACATTTTTGACCAGCTTGCCTAGAATCTCCCTTTCCTGAGGAATCATCGATATTCCCTTTTATCAGAGCCTTCAAAGCTGAGGGCATTTTTTTTCTTGTTATGTTGATGGGCTAGCAGAGGCACTGAAGCCACTGAGTACACATTTTCCAGAACTGAAATGTTAAACCTCTGATCTTGGCACTGCCCGTTCCTAAGTCAGGCTGTGAAACCTGACTTTGGCCACTCCCCTCCTCCTTTTTGTTCCTCCTTCTTGAATCTCTACATTCCCTTAAACTGTTGGCAGAGGCGGAACCTAGAGCAATTTCGGTTTACTTGATGGTATTGATTGTGCCCTTCATTTTGTCTTCGGGGTTTTCTTAGATTATATGATTTTATATAGTAGCTGCCACTAGTTAAGGTCCACTAGTAACTCCCAAACACATTTTTTTCTTTTACTGGAAGATGATTGTTGTAGACTCAGCTGAAGTGAAGAATGATCTTAGAAGCTCCTAGTTGTTCTAAGTGAGCCTGTGCTTAAAATGATGTGAGTGCTCTTCATAGCCCCAGGTGGGTTAAAGTACAAGACATGCTTAAAGAAATGAGCAATTGGCTAGGTGCGTAGCTCACACCTGTAATCCCAGCACTTTGGGAGGCTGAGGCAGGTGGATCACCTGAGGTCAGGAATTTGAGACCAGCCCAGCCAACATAGTAAAATCTCGTCTCTACTAAAAATAGAAAAAAATTAGCTGGGTGTGGTGGTGCACACCTGTAGTCCCAGCTACTCAGGAAGATGAGGCAGAAGAATTGCTTGAGCCCGGGAGGCAGAGGTTTCAGTGAGCCAAGATTGCTCCACTCCACTCCCTCCTGGGTGACATCGAGCAAGACTCTGTCTAAAGGAAAAATAAAGAAAAGAAAAGCACTGCCTTAAGAGTTAAGAAAATATGGTGGGGGGAAGGTTCTATTGTCTTTTATTTTAATGAGGTTTAATTTATTTATTTATTAATTTTTTGTTTTAAAGATGGGGTTTCGCCATGTTGGTCATACTGGTCTTGAACTCCCAACCTCAGGTGATCCACCCCCCTTGGCCTCCAAAGTGCTTGGATTACAGGCGTGAGCCACCACATCCAGCCAATGAGGTTTAATGTATGTACACGAAATCGCAGAGGTCTTAAATGTATGGTTTGATAAATTTTGAAAATTATATATGCCCATGTAACCACTACCCCAATTAAGATATAGTACATTTCCATTTTCAGTAAATCCTCATGCTCCTTTCTAGTCAATCCCCCTGAGGCCTTTCTTCTTGGCTGCTGATGGCTGCCTTCTCACTGTGTCCTCACATGGCCTTTTCTGTGCTTGCATCCCTGGGAATGCTTCCTCTTATAAGGACATCAGTCACTCTCAGGCCCACCCCTAGGACCTCATTCAACTTAATTACCTCTTTAAAGATCCTGTCTCCAAATACAGTCACATTCTGAGGTGTCCTAGATTTTAGGACTTCAGTGTATTAATTAGAAAGGCGCAACTAAGTCCATAACAACCACTTTCTTTCCAACTGTTATGCCTTTTCTTCTCTTTCTTATCTAATTAGACCATGTAGGGATTTTATTACAATATAGAATACAATGAGAAAAGTAGATTTCCATGCCTTGTTCCCAATTTTATAGGGAAAAGATAGTCTTTCACCATTAAGTATGATTTTAGCTGGAGTCTTGTTCTTCCTAGCATGGCTGCAGTCTAGAAGATGGCAGCCTGCTGCCCTCTGAGGAAGCAGAGCAGACCCTGTTCTCAAGGTATTGTTTCTCTGTTTCAGCCTGTTCGTGGATTCCCTACAGGGGTGACACAGGGAGCCTGCCTCTGTTTTGTTTGACTCAACTTTCTCTGGGCAGAGAGTGGCTACATATAGGACATTCCTTGAAAACATTGAAAATCAGATGAACACACCACTGGCACCTGGGCTTA